ACCCGAGGTAGCACTTCCAACCAAGGCTCTACACCCCTCGGTAGACCCTTAACCGGAGTGTCTCACTTAGAGGAAGTTGTACAATCCTCAATCAACGAGGATCTATATTTATCTGATGCCACCAGCACTGGGGCATCTGAAGCTGAAGCAAGTGACTCTGAGTAACCATCATGGAACACAATCTAAGCATTCTGCAGTGGAATATCTGTAGCTATAAAAGCAAGAACTCCTTTCTCCAGTCAATAGTGCGAGCAAGGAGCACTGACGTCGTCATGCTCCAGGAGACACTAACTATGGGATCCGTGTGCTTCTCAGGATATCATGCCTTCACCACTCCAAACCTGGATGGTGCTAGAGGCCTGATGACCCTGGTAAAAGTAGCAATACCGTGCTCCTTAATAGCCAACCCGCCGCACTGTGAAGATGGTGTTGAACCTCTTGCTGTTGAGATTCAGCTACCTGGGGGCCCTATAAAAATATATAATATTTATAGCAAACCACTGTGTGAAAGCTTAGGTCTAAACCAGGTCTGTGCTACTGCAGCACAAGACCGAGTGATCATAGGGGGAGACTTCAATGCACACCTAGCCATATTGAATCCCCGCAAAAGGCCGAACGCGGCAGACATTCACATAGCAGAAGTGCTTGAGACGTTACCTGAGATCGCTCTTCTCAACACCAAAGAACCAACGCATGTGAAGGGAGGGGTCCTAGACCTCACCTTTGCCACTGCAACAATGGTGGAGAGAATTCGGTGGTGTGTCGATGATACGGTTACTAGTGATCACTACGGCATAGTCACCACACTAATGGATGCAGGTCCAGCCCAAAGACCACATCACATTCCTAAATGGAAAACAGACAAGGCCATCTGGTTTGCCTTCCAGGAAGGCTTGGCTCGATGTCTGAAAGACAATGAACCCAACAATAATGACAATGTGGACGTGCTAGAGGCAAGGCTAATCCAGGCCATAAACCAGGCAGCCTCACAAACCATCCCCAAAACTCGCCCATGGTCCAGAACTCACAAAGACGCCTGGTACTATAATGAAGAGATCAAAGAGGTCAACCACAGGGTTAATATGTGCAGAAAAAACTTCCGACGGCAAAGATCTCCCAATCTGGCNGTGTGCTAGGTACGCGACATGGAGCATATATTAACATAGATGTGTAGTGTTGTGTATTTGTGTGTTTCGGCGTGTGTAATCGATGATGTGTGTCTGTAAATGAGTAGTGTCAGGTTTACATTTTGTATTGCGTGTATGAAATTTTTAAAAAGTGGTGGTGGTGGAAATGTTATTGAGATGAAGTTATTGTTGATGTGTTAGGAGTTAGTTTATTGTGATTGTGCGAAAGTGAGATGAGTGTTAGTGATAGGCGAGTATGTAGAAAAGTAGAGTGGTGGATCAGATAGAGTATGTTAAGTGATAGATACTGCAATGAACTGATAGTTATGACTAGTAGTCAGAAGATGACCGGACAGACACAGTAAAGAGAAGTAAATAGATAACACCGACAGAGCACCAGACTACATACCACCACAACCACTACACTGATCTAACAACCACACACACAAATATCTGTACTAATTACATTACTTGCAATACACCTCCCTCTAATCATATACCCTAAACCCCACCATATCTTTAATACACTCTATATATATATAATATCAAGTCTTCACCTCACGATCACCCATTTCACCAGATGAAGAATGTTACGATATACGAACGTTGCTTAAGTACGCATACCTATCATCCTAGTCAAGAGTATGTACGCGGAGTTGTTCTATGCGGGTATATGGTCCTCACAGACAACTAATTGAAGTCAACGAGCTGAGAATTACCAACTATCGAGCTCCCAGGTCATATTTCAGGTGAGCAGACCGGCCAGACCAGTGGTTTGATGAGTGGTGGTGATGTGTGTTGTGTGTGTGTTTGGTGTGTGTGTGTCGAGTGTGCCTGTTCGTGTTCTTTTTGCGGTATGTTCAGGTCTGCGATGCCGTATAACGCATTGCGTAGATTGTGTGTTTTTACTTGTGTCTCATTGCACGTCGTTATAAAATAAGTTGTTACTTGTCTATCTGTGGTTCAGGTTAAATCTATCTATCTCTATAAGTTGTTCGTTCGCTCAATCTTATAGATCGCTTTCCTTTAAATTCTTCTGTATTTCACGCGAGGTCTTATCTCATTGTATAAGAGCGCGCGATAACTCCTGTCCTGCAGAGGTCTTCTCAGATTTCACCTCGCTGTATGTTATTCTTCACTCGTACTCATCAATGTGCTTTGTATTCCATCTCATGAATGTATATTCCACATTTGACTGCAGTATTTTCAGGCGCCTTAACACTCGTCCTCATTTCATTCCTCACTCTTCATTCCATGCTCATTCCTCAATCTACTCATAATTTGCACAAAGTTTACTCCTCTTTCTACGCTTTACGGTCATCATGGTTATTACTATTTTCATTTCATTATTACCATAGTTACCCCTCACCTTTCCGTTTTTTCAGGGAGACTTGGACTTTTGACGCCTCACTTTGATGACCGCTTCTGGCACGATTTTGACATCTATGGCTTCACGAGGTAAGTTTGCCCTTACTTATAGATTTTTCCTTTATAACCGTCTTCTAGATTTATTATGTGATTACCATAAATCAGTATGGCTGTTATTGTTAGTCAAGATATCATTAAGATATTGGAATGATTAAGTAATTGTATTCATAATCGATAATGAGCTTTCATCATTATTACCTTATTTATCTATCCCTACATTTGAATATAAAATTCCTACATGTTTTGATATATTATTGTCTTATTTATTTATATTCGCAGAACCGGATAAAAGGCAGCCATAAGAAACAAGGCTTTTGAATCCAGCCCACCAAACCTCAGAAATTTCATAGAGAAAAAAGGCCGTTTTAGAGTCTAATTCAACAGGAGCAAATCTACCGAGGAAGGAATTCATTGGCATCGCTGTAATAATGATATATTCTGTTCAGGATTTATATTATGCGATTGAATTTCTCGTGAGAGTCGAGTGTGTAAGGGGACTAGCAGTGCATGGTAACTATGTAGTATTATTGGTTGAATGGCTTTTCAGGTCGTTTTGTTTACGAGGAAAATTTCCCTACTTATTGAAGGGAATTTAGTATTCTTTGTCCTACATATATCAAGTTTCGGTATACATAACTTTGATATCGAAAAAGGCAATTTAGAAAGGAGTAGATTCTGCTTTTCCTAAAAAAGTAGAAATCTGCACGATCTTTCGCCCATTAATCTGCCTGTACTTGTCTATGTTTCAATATTTTCTCCTTATGTGTCTCTTTTCATTCTTTTTTTATGAAAATATTGATGAGATGTATCATAGGAGATCCTTCCGAGGAAATGCTTATGTCGTGTTTATTATATGTGATATACAAATGATGTTATTATATGTTTGTTATTTATTTATGTACCTGTGATTTTTATTGTGAATGTTTGTACGTATGTGGATACTTGTAAAGTATATAAAATTATATAAGCCAAAATGTGATTATACGATATATATCAAATTAGTGTATATACTGCAATAAAACAATATTTCTTTTTTCTCTTCGTCTCACTGAGTTTAATTCCTAAAGGTCAGCTCATCTTATATATGTGTGCGTGTATATATATATATATATATATATATATATATATATATATATATATATATATATATATATATATATATCGTGTGCGTGTGTGGGTAAACACACATGCACATACACACACACACAAACACAAACAAAACATACACACACACATAAACACACTCACACATACACACAAAATGTATATATATATATATATATATATATATATATATATATATATATATATATATATATATATAATATATATATATACACAGACACACACATTACAGACACAACATATATATGCATACATATATATTTATATATTTATACACACATGTATATATATTTAATATTATATATACATACATATATTTCTATACATACATATATATATATATATATATATATATATATATATATATATATGTATGTATGTATATGTATGTATATGAACCGTATTCATGTTGACAAATGTGGAAAGGTATGAATAAGAACGAATATCTTTGTACTGTGAAGATATTCGTTCTCATTCATACCTTTCCACATGTATATATGTGTGTGTGTGTGCACCCCCACACACACATACATATATATATAGATATATATATATATATATATATATATATATATATATATATATATATATATATATATATATATATATATATATCTGTGTGTGTACACACACACACACACACACACATAAGTGATGGGGGAAGGGTGGAGGAGGAGAAAAAGGAAGAAGTTGGGTAGTTGGAGAAGAAGAAGGTGATGAAGGAAGGGAATAAGGAGGGTAATGGAAGGGGTTATATAGTACAAGGGGAGAGAAGGGAGAGAGGGGAAAAGGGGATGGGGAGAAGGGGAGAGGAGAAGGGGGGAAGTAGGGAGAGGGGAGGGAAGAAGAGGAAAGGGGGAGAAGGGAGGAGGAGGGAGAAGAGGGAAGTAGGGAAAAGGGAGAGGGAAAAAGAGGGAAGGAGGAAGAAGGGAGGAGGAGGGAGAAGAGGAAGTAGGGAGAAGGGAGAGGGAAGAAGAGGGAAGGAAGGAGAAGTGAGGAGGGAAAAGAAGGAAGTAGGGAGAAGGGGAGAGAGAGAACAGGGAGAAAGGAAGGAGGGAGAAGAGGGAAGAGAAAGGGAGAGAGGGGAAGAAGAGGGAAGGAGGGAGAAGGAAGGAGGAGAGAGAAGAGGGAAGGAGGGAGAAGGGAGAAGGGAGGGGAGAGGGAGAAGGGAGGAGAAGAAGAGGAAGGAGGGAGAAAGGAGGAGAGAAGGAGGGGCTGCATTAGGATGAGGACATGCAATAACACCCCCCCCCCCTCTGCTAATCATCCCCCCCCCCACGTTGGCGGACGATAAATACAGGTAAGAGAGGCGAAACCAGATCAGTTGTAACACAGTGAGCAGGAGAGATAACACGTATCAAGGTAAATGTCACTCTTTGCGTGTTTGTGTTTGTTTTTGTGTTTGTGTTTGTTTGTGTTTTTGCTTGCTTGCGCTTGTGCTTGTTTGTTTTTTGCTTGTGTTTGTTTTTGTTTGTATTTGTGTGTTTGTGTTTGTGTTTAAATCAGACAGTGGTTTATAGAAGGTGATCTTTGCTTTTAATTATTATTTTCGCTGTTCAATACTTATAGTGAATTAGTTTTACATTTTGATCTAGATTTTAAAATGGGTGTGAAAATTTGAAAGATTTTTATATAAATTTATTTTGAATGATAGATAAAGGCAGATAGAAAGAGATGGACAGAGAGATAGATAGATACATGAACTGAATAGACAGGCAGAGAGAGACAGACAGAGAGACAGAGAGAGAGAGAGAGAGAGAGATACAGGCAGAGAAAGAGATACATAAACTATAAACTATAAATCTAAAAACGTATATATTTCTTGCATCATCCTCTTTCACCCCCTCCCTCCCCCCTAAACCCCTCTTCACCTCAATCTTCCTCGTCCCTTTTCCCAGATGTTCAGAAGGACGTTGCTGTTCGCCTTTTCTCTGCTGGTGTTCGCGTTGTCTGCGGTGGCCCAGTCCAACAATGGCCGCGGACCCAACTCGCTCCCTGGCTTCAGGAGCAGATTCGGCCACAGGGTAAGGCGATTTTGGCTTCGTTCTGTTTGCAAGTTCAGTCTTCATCCCTCTCATGATTTTCTTTTCTCATAAAATAGCTTACTTCTACTTGTTCAGTGTAAATCCTTCTCATAATGTTTCTTCTCTCATTCTTATAATGTTCTTCTTTAATTCTTCTCATGTTTCTTCATGTTTTACTCATTTATTTTACTCATAACGTCCTGTCTGCAGTCTTCTCGTGATGTCACCCATGTATATTCTTCATTCTACTCATAATGTGCATTTTTATTCCACTCATAATGTATATTCTACATTTGACAGTGTTCAGCCTTCACTCTCCTCATGTTCACTCCTCATTCTTCATTCCATGCTCATTCCTCAATCTACTCATAATTTCCACAAAGTTTGCTCCTCGTTCTACGCTTTACAGTCATCATGGTTATTACTATTTTCATTTTCATTATTACCATAGTTACCCCTCACCTTTCTCGTTTTCTTTTCAGGGGAGACTTGGACTTTTGAAGCCTCACTTTGATGACCGCTTCTGGCACGATTTTGACATCTATGGCTTCACGAGGTAAGTTTGCTCTTATAGATTTTGTTCCTTTTATAACCGTCTTCTAGATTTATTATGTGATTACCATAAATCAGTATGGCTGTTATTGTTAGTCAAGATATCATTAAGATACTGGAATGATTAAGTAATTGTATTCATAATCGATAATGAGCTTTCATCATTATTACCTTATTTACATGTTTTGATTTATTATTGTCATATCCATCTATTTATATTCGCAGAACCGGATAAAAGGCAGCCACAAGAAACAAGGCTTTTGAATCCAGCCCACCAAACCTTAGAAATTTCAAAGAGAAAAAAAGGCCGTTTTAGAGTCTAATTCAACAGGAGCAAATCTACCGAGGAAGGAATTCATTGGCATCGCTGTAATAATCTGATAATCATTCTGTTCAGGAGGATTTATATGCGATTGAATTTCTCGTGAGAGTCGAGTGTGTAAGGGGACTAGCAGTGCATGGTAACTCTGTAGTATTATTGGTTGAATGGCTTTTCAGGTCGTTTTGTTTACGAGGAAAATTTCCCTACTTATTGAAGGGAATTTAGTATTCTTTGTCCTACATATATCAAGTTTCGGTATACATAACTTTGATATCGAAAAAGGCAATTTAGAAAGGAGTAGATTCTGCTTTTCCTAAAAAAGTAGAAAATCTGCACGATCTTTCGCCCATTAATCTGCCTGTACTTGTCTATGTTTCAATATTTTCTCCTTATGTGTCTCTTTTCATTCTTTTTTATGAAAATATTGATGAGATGTATCATAGGAGATCCTTCCGAGGAAATGCTTATGTCGTGTTTTATTATATGTGATATACAAATGATGTTATTATATGTTTGTTATTTATTTATGTACCTGTGATTTTTATTGTGAATGTTTGTACGTATGTGGATACTTGTAAAGTATATAAAATTAATATAAGCCAAAAATGTGATTATACGATATATATCAAATTAGTGTATATACTGCAATAAAACAATATTTCTTTTTTCTCTTCGTCTCACTGAGTTTAATTCCTAAAGGTCAGCTCATCTTATATATGTGTGCGTATATATATATATATATATATATATATATATATATATATATATATATATATATATATATATATATATATATATATATATATATATATATATATATCGTGCGTGTGGGTAAACACACATGCACATACACACACACACAAACAAACACACAAAACATACACACACACATAAACACACACTCACACATACACAAAATGTATATATATATATATATATATATATATATATATATATATATATAATATATATAATATATTTACAGACACACATATATATGCATGCATATATATTTATATATTTATACACACATGTATATATATTCAATACATATATTTCTATACATATATATATATATATATATATATATATATATATATATATATATATATGTATGTATGTATGTATATGAACCGTATTCATGTTGACAAATGTGGAAAGTATGAATAAGAACGAATATCTCTTGTACTGTGAAGATATTCGTTCTCATTCATACCTTTCCACATGTATATATGTGTGTGTGTGTGCACCCCACCCACACACACAGCATATATATATATATATATATATATATATATATATATATATATATATATATATATATATATATATATCACACACACACACACACACATAAGTGATGGGGGAAGGGTGGGAGGAGGAGAAAAAGGAAGAAGTTGGGTAGTTGGAGAAGAAGGTGATGAAGGAAGGGAATAAGGAGGGGTAATGGAAGGGGTTATATAGTACAGGGGAGAGAAGGAGAGAGGGGAAAGGGGGATGAGGAAGAAGGGGAGAGGAGAGAAGGGGGAAGTAGGGAGAAGGGGAGAGGGAAGAAGAGGAAAGGAGGGAGAAGGGAGGAGGAGGGAGAAGAGGGAAGTAGGGAAAAGGGGAGAGGGAAAAAGAGGGAAGGAGGGAGAAGGGAGGAGAGGGAGAAGAGGGAAGTAGGGAGAAGGGGAGAGGGAAGAAGAGGGAAGGAGGGAGAAGTGAGGAGGAGGAAGGAAGTAGGGAGAAGGGAGAGAGGGAAGCAGGGAGAAAGGGAGAGGAGGAGAAGAGGGAAGGAGGGAGAAGGAGAAGGGAGAGAGGGAAGGAGGAGAAGGGAGGAGGAGAGAGAAGAGGGAAGGAAGGAGAAGGGAGGAGAGGAGAAGGGAGAGGGAGAAGGGAGAGGAGAAGAAGAGGGAAGGAGGGAGAAAGGAGGAGGAGGGAGAAGGGGAGACGAGGAAGAAGGGGGGAGGAAGGAAAGGGGGGGAGGAGGTGCATTAGGATGAGGACATGCAATAACACCCCCCCCTCTGCTAATCATCCCCCCCCCCCACGTTGGCGGACGATAAATACAGGTAAGAGAGGCGAAACCAGATCAGTTGTAACACAGTGAGCAGGAGAGATAACACGTATCAAGGTAAATGTCACTCTTTGCGTGTTTGTGTTTGTTTTTGTGTTTGTGTTTGTTTGTGTTTTTGCTTGCTTGCGTTTGTGCTTGTGTTTGTTTTTGTTTGTATTTGTGTGTTTGTGTTTGCGTTTCAATCAGACAGTGGTTTATAGAAGGTGATCTTTGCTTTTAATTATTATTTTCGCTGTTCAATGCTTATAGTGAATCAGTTTTACATTTTGATCTAGATTTTAAAATGGGTGTGAAAATTTGAAAGATATTAATAGATATTTATTTCGAATGACAGATAAAGGCAGATAGAAAGAGATGGACAGAGAGATAGATAGATACATGAACTGAATAGACAGGCAGAGAGAGACAGACAGAGAGACAGAGAGAGAGAGAGAGATACAGGCAGAGAAAGAGATACATAAACTATAAACTATAAATCTAAAAACGTACTTATTTCTTGCATCATCCTCCCTCCCCCTAAACCCCTCTTCACCTCAGTCTTCCTCGTCCCTTTTCCCAGATGAAGATGTTCGGAAGGACGTTGCTGTTCGCCTTTTCTCTGCTGGTGTTCGCGTTGTCTGCGGTGGCCCAGTCCAACAATGGCCGCGGACCCAACTCGCTCCCTGGCTTCAGGAGCAGACGCGGCCAAAGGGTAAGGCGATGTGGCTTCGTTCTGTTTGCAAGTTCAGTCTTCATCCTACGCATAATTTTCTTTTCTCATTCGTCTTATAAAATAGTTTACTTCTACTTGTTCAGTGTTCATCCTTCTCATAATGTTTCTTCGCTCATTCTTATAATGTTCTTCTTTAATTCTTCTCATTTTTCAGTTTTACTCATTTATTTTACTCATAACGTCCTGTCTGCAGTCTTCTCAGGATTTCACCCCTGTTTATTCTTCATTCTACTCATAATGTGCATTTTTATTCCACTCATAATGTATATTCCACATTTGACTAAGTGTTCAGCCTTCACTCTCCTCATGTTCACTCCTCACTCTTCATTCTATGCTCATTCCTCAATCTACTCATAATTTGCACAAGTTTACTCCTCTTTCTACGCTTTACGGTCATCATGGTTATTACTATTTTCATTTTCATTATTACCATAGTTGCCCCTCACCTTTCTCGTTTTCTTTTCAGGGGAGACTTGGACTTTTGACGCCTCACTTTGATGACCGCTTCTGGCACGATTTTGACATCTATGGCTTCACGAGGTAAGTTTGCCCTTACTTATAGATTTTGTTCCTTTTATAACCGTCTTCTAGATTTATTATGTGATTACCATAAATCAGTATGGCTGTTATTGTTAGTCAAGATATCATTAAGATATTGGAATGATTAAGTAATTGTATTCATAATCGATAATGAGCTTTCATCATTATTACCTTATTTATCTATCCTACATTTGAATATAAAATTCCTACATGTTTATTATTGTCTTATTTATTTATATTCGCAGAACCGGATAAAAGGCAGCCATAAGAAACAAGGCTTTTGAATCCAGCCCACCAAACCTCAGAAATTTCATAGAGAAAAAAGGCCGTTTTAGAGTCTAATTCAACAGGAGCAAATCTACCGAAGGAATTCATTGGCATCGCTGTAATAATCTGATAATCATTCTGTTCAGGAGGATTTATATTATGCGATTGAATTTCTCGTGAGAGTCGAGTGTGTAAGGGGACTAGCAGTGCATGGTAACTCTGTAGTATTATTGGTTGAATGGCTTTTCAGGTCGTTTTGTTTACGAGGAAAATTTCCCTACTTATTGAAGGGAATTTAGTATTCTTTGTCCTACATATATCAAGTTTCGGTATACATAACTTTGATATCGAAAAAGGCAATTTAGAAAGGAGTAGATTCTGCTTTTCCTAAAAAAGTAGAAATCTGCACGATCTTTCGCCCATTAATCTGCCTGTACTTGTCTATGTTTCAATATTTTCTCCTTATGTGTCTCTTTTCATTCTTTTTTATGAAAATATTGATGAGATGTATCATAGGAGATCCTTCCGAGGAAATGCTTATGTCGTGTTTATTATATGTGATATACAAATGATGTTATTATATGTTTGTTATTTATTTATGTACCTGTGATTTTTATTGTGAATGTTTACGTATGTGGATACTTGTAAAGTATATAAATTAATATAAGCCAAAAATGTGATTATACGATATATATCAAATTAGTGTATATACTGCAATAAAACAATTTTTTTTTTTCTCTTCGTCTCACTGAGTTTAATTCCTAAAGGTCAGCTCATCTTATATATGTGTGTGTATATATATATATATATATATATATATATATATATATATATATATATATATATATATATATATATATATATATATATCGTGTGCGTGTGTGGGTAAACACACATGCATACACACACACACAAACAAAACACAACAAAACATACACACACATAACACACACTCACACATACACAAAATGTATATATATATATATATATATATATATATATATATATATATATATATATATATATATATATATATATATATATATATATATATATATACAGACACACATATATATGCATGCATATATATTTATATATTTATACACACATGTATATATATTATATATATATATATATTACATATATTTCTATATACATACATATATATATATATATATATATGTATGTATGTATGTATGTATGTATATGAACCGTATTCATGTTGACAAATGTGGAAAGGTATGAATAAGAACGAATATCTCTTGTACTGTGAAGATATTCGTTCTCATTCATACCTTTCCACATGTATATATGTGTGTGTGTGTGCACCCCCCACACACACAGACATATATATATACATATATATATATATATATATATATATATATATATATATATATATATATATATATATATATATATATATATATATCTGTGTGTGTACACACACACACACACACACATAGTGATGGGGGAAGGGTGGGAGGAGGAGAAAAAGGAGGAAGTTGGGTAGTTGGAGAAGAAGGTGATGAAGGAAGGAAATAAGGAGGGGTAATGGAAGGGGTTATATAGTACAAGGGGAGAGAAGGGAGAGAGGGGGAAAGGGGAGAAGGGAGAAGGGGAGAGGAGGTAGAAGGGGGTAGGGAGAAGGGGAAGGGAAGAAGAGGAAAGGAGGGAGAAGGGAGGAGGAGGGAGAAGAGGGAAGTAGGGGAAAGGGGGAGAGGGAAAAAGAGGAAGGAGGGAGAAGGGAGGAGGAGGGAGAAGAGGGAAGGGGAGAAGGGAGAGGGAAGAAGAGGGAAGGGAGAAGGAGGAGGAGGGAAAAGAGGGAAGTAGGGAGAAGGGGAGAGAGGGAAGAGGGAGAAGGAGGAGGAGGGAGAAGGGGAAGGAGGAGAAGGGGAAGAAGAGGAGGGAGGGAGAAGGGGGAGGAGAGAGAAGAGGGAAGGAGGAGAGGGGAGGAGGAGGGGAGAAGGGGGAGGAAGAAGAGGGAAGGAGGGAGAAAGGAGGAGGAGGGAGAAGGGGGAGGAAGAAGGGGAGGAAGGATAGGGGGGGAGGAGGTGCATTAGGATGAGGACATGCAATAACACCCCCCCCCCCCTCTGCTAATCATCCCCCCCCCCGTTGGCGGACGATAAATACAGGTAAGAGAGGCGAAACCAGATCAGTTGTAACACAGTGAGCAGGAGAGATAACACGTATCAAGGTAAATGTCACTCTTTGCGTGTTTGTGTTTGTTTTGTGTTTGTGTTTGTTTTGTGTTTTGCTTTGCTTGCGTTTGTGCTTGTTTTGTTTTTGTTTGTTTTGTTTGTTTTGTGTTTGCGTTTCAATCAGACAGTGGTTTATAGAAGGTGATCTTTGCTTTTAATTATTATTTTCGCTGTTCAATGCTTATAGTGAATCAGTTTTACATTTTGATCTAGATTTTAAAATGGGTGTGAAAATTTGAAAGATATTAATAAATTTTTATTTCGAATGACAGATAAAGGCAGATAGAAAGAGATGGACAGAGAGATAGATACATGAACTGAATAGACAGGCAGAGAGAGACAGAGAGACAGAGAGAGAGAGAGAGAGAGAGAGATACAGGCAGAGAAAGAGATACATAAACTATAAACTATAAATCTAAAAACGTATTATTTCTTGCATCATCCTCCACTCCCTCCCCCTAAACCCCTCTTCACCTCAGTCTTCCTCGTCCCTTTTCCCAGATGAAGATGTTCGGAAGGACGTTGCTGTTCGCCTTTTTCTGCTGGTGTTCGCGTTGTCTGCGGTGGCCCAGTCCAACAATGGCCGCGGACCCCTTC